ATATATAGCAAACAATTTGAAAGAATACAAAAATATGTGAAGTTCATTTAAAAAAACTACAGTATAGGCTGGTACAGTACACTAAAAGACTTTGATAAAAAGAACCAGTAATAAAAGGCCTCCATTTTAAATGTCATTCATATATACCTTGTGGATGAGAGCTATATACTTTTACACACTTTTTTAGAGGAATAAATTATTGAATTACTGAAAATTTGAGTGGCTTTTTTCCCCTTCCCATTTCTACCTGTTCAGAAGGTGTGTATGTTCCAGATTGAACACCCCAAGACTTGGAGTGCCTGGTCCTGCCTACCTCCAGAGCTGGTAACCTGGGCACAGCTGGGCTGCCCGGCCTCCTACCAGCTCCTCTAAGGTCGTGTTCTCCTACTCGGAGGTACAAACCGTCCAGGAGCTCTGGCAGCTTGGCGGGCAGGAGTTGCACTGCCAGCCCAAAGGCATGTGGTTCAAATCCACCAGCCGCTCCAACGGAGAAAGATGGGCTGTCTCCTACTGTGTGATTTTATCTGAAAACCCACTGGAGGCTCAGTTGTGAGTTGGTTCTGACCCTAAAACACATGCGGAGTGTGTGGCATTTGGTGAGTTGTTCAGGCCTTCAGTTCTGGGGCGGCCGCTTAGCCTGGAGAGCACACAGTGTCGTTAGCCAACTCTGCTTGTCCAAGAGCCAGTGGAGCAGTGGCTACGAACCCAGGAGCCAGCCTTGTGAGAAAGAGCAGTCGTGAAGATTAGAGAACCTTTGGAAACCTGTAGGTTTCACCTTCTAGAACAGTGCTGCAATCCCCAAGGCCAGGGTTTGAATCCACCAGCTGCTCCAAGGGACAAAGACGGGCAGTCTGACGTGGTGGCTGCCTGCGAACACCTGCTGGAGGCTCAGCTGTGAGTCGGTTCCCACTTGACGGTGCACAGCAAACAACCAGAGAGCTTATGGAGCAGCCACGTCCTGCAGGCCACCATTTGCCTAGCACCAGTGCCACTCTCAAATCCACGTCACACCAAAACCCTTGCCATGTTGCCTGGGAGTCGTACAGTTCTCTAGTTTACAGACCTTAGTTTACAGGCCTTAACAACGAGCTCATTATCTCATGTCACTGATATGCAATTAGGGAGCTTGGGTGGATTTAAGGGTCAAGAGTTCTGCTGCCAACACTAAGGCTCATGGTTCGAACCCACCAGCTGCTCCGTGAGAGGAAAACAGGCAGTCTTCTCCTGTGCAATTTCCAGCCTCTGAAAACCTGGTCAGCTGTAAGTCAGTTCCCCAACACCACCACCTACAATGAGGCACCACCAGCAAAGTGCTGGGTTGTGGTGTTTCCATTTTGTTTAAAAAGGAAATCTTGACATTGCTTCTGACTGATGAAGCAGGAGGGAGTCAATTCCCGTAACGTGTAAACAATACGACACAACAGTTAGTGCTGTGTTACTGAACTTGAAGGAGTTTCCATCAGCACTTAGACGTTTATGCAAATAACAAGTTATTTCACTTGAAGGAGGAAGTTTCCATCAACACTTAAAAGTTCAGTGCTCCTGTGGAGCAGCTAGCTGGTGGATTCGAACTTCTGACTTTTAGGTTGACAGCCCAAATCTTCACCTACTAGACAACCACAGTGATACCTTAAAACAGTCCACAAGTGTTCACGATACTCTTCTTCCATATGTACCAACTCCTCTTTGGGTTCATACTCTCTGGAACATCAAGGTCAGTGGGCATTACAAGCCTTCCCCCCGCCCCGGGCCAGACAGGCGTCTCCTCCCAGATCACTGGAAGCTCAATGAGCTGCACCCTCAGTCACCCACATCCCCACGTCCACCCAAAAGGTGGGTGCGTCACATCCTGAGCACAGAAGAGCCCCTCAGATTCTTCTTGTGGAATCAAATGGCCAGCCCACTGCGGCCACGGCAGGGCCACAGGCTGTTCATGGGCTGGGCTGAGTACACCCCAGGAGAGAGGGGCCTGCCGGGGGGACCCTCTCCCTGGGCCATACCCAGTGCTGGGTCTCGTTGCTGTCACATTCACTTCTTTCCAACCTATTTAATTACTGCCCCAAGCCTTTGCACTGAATTGAATTAAAAACAAAAAACCTCATCCAACACCACAAACTGGCCTCAGCTCTTCACCATTTCCAACTTAACGGCAGGCCCACGGCGGGCTCAAAACCAGTATTTAACCTGATGCGCCACCATGGCTCCTGTGGACTGTATGAAAAACTCAAAAATGTCACTGCCTGCAGTCCATTCCCTGTCAACCTTCTGGAACAGAGAGTTATGTCCACAGCTGCCCACCAGGGGGCAGGCTTCACCGGCAAATCCACGGGAGTCTGTAAGTTCAAGGTGAAGGTTGGGGTGAGTCACCAGGGGAGGGTGACTGGCCCCAGGGGACAGAGCCTGGCTGGGCCGGGGGTGGGGGAGAGCAGGTGTGGGGATTGCTTCAAGAGGAGCTCAGCTCGGCGTATTTGTAGAGCCCAGGGGGGTGAGCCAAGAGGCTAAAATTAAGTCAAACAAGGTCCTTCAGTGCCTCCAGGGCTCCCTTCAGACGGGTAGAAGTATAAAGACAAGACACAGCTGTGGTAGAATACCATGAGGGGCAGTGAGGATAAGGCTCAGAGGGGCTGTTATGATCAATGATACTTAGTAATGTGAGGAATAATGACTAGCATTTGGTAAGAACTTGCTCTGCCAACCCTGAAGCATCTGGTTCAAATCCACCAAATGATAAGAAGCAATACAGACCAAACTAAATGGGAGAATAGTCCCTGTGCGCAGACAGGAAGGCTGACCACTGTGAACATGACAGTCCCCAGGTTCAATGCCGTTCCAATGCAAACACCAGATCCATTCTTCAAGGAGGTCTAAAAGGCAGTTTC